TCGCTACCTGCCTGCACCGCGTCAGGTAAGAAAATGCCAATGCCATCATCCCAATCGTCCTGTGCTATACAATTCATTGCCTACATCTGAAACTTTTGGTGTAGCTTCAGTTTGTGTCACTAGTCTGTCAAATAGGAATAGATGTGCCGTACGTTACTCGTTAGTCCAATCAGTCAATGCTGAACCCGGCGCAGACCCAAGTGATGGGACAAAGGAAAATATCAATCAAGAAAATTAATGTTTCTAACTTTGACTGAGAAGTGAGAACCATCACAGGTATTTTGAGGAATTTTAAACCACTGGCTAAGAAGATGTAAGATGTAGCTAAATTAATGGTCAAAGCTCAAGAGAAGACGAGGTGAGTATAAGAATCCACTACTCTAGCTTTGAGTTGGGTCATTCTCACACGCACAAGAAACAGACTATGCAGTACATACATTAAAGAGCCAATCAGATGGCAACCTCATGCACTAATCTTGTTTTTGTTTAGCATGGCAAGTTTAAAGCCACTCTCTAAACCTTCAAAGCTGCAGGCTTTTATCATCACAACCTTAGAGCCACTGGTGGAGCTTAGTTAGGGATATAATTTTAGCAGAATTTGGAAGTTTCTCTTGCAAGTATTTCAGCAAAATTCCTGACATAACTAAAGAATGAGACAGCATTGGCTTGCAAAACACGAGAATAGGAAACGAGGGACCATTCTACAACCCTGCCAGCTTCTCAAATACCATTCTGTGCTGGCCCCATGGTCCAGCCTTTGCTCACGTTTCTCAGCTCCAACAGCTTTGGATCTCCCTCACACAAGAGTAAATGGTGTTGTACGCCAATCAGTCAATGTGTATCCAACCTTAACCCCCGGGAAGGGGCACTAGAGAAACATCAACAAAATTACAAGAATTCACTTCACAGTAGCCTTGGGTGTATCTGAATCACATTTCCCGACAAAACCCAAGGAAGCCATGGGCGAGCACTCCCAGAACTCAAAATCCTAGAGAGGGAGAAAACATATCTACAACAACAACAACAACAACAACAACAACATAGCCTTTCAGTCCCAAGTAAGTTGGGGTAGGCTAGAGTTGAAACCCACCAAAAGCCCCAAGTCATGGTTCAGGCACTTCAATAGCTGCTTTCCAAGTACTCCTATTCAAACATAGATCTCTAGGTATATCCCAAGCTTTCAAATATCTTTTTATTGCCTCCCCCATGTCAATTTCAGTCTTCCTCTACCTCTCCTCATATTATTAGCTTGGCTGAGGACTCCACAATGCATTGGTGTCTCTAGAGGTCTCCTTTGGATATGGCCAACCACCTCAACCGATGTTGGACAAGCTTTTCTTCAATTGGTGCTACCTCTAGACGATCACGTATATCATCGTTCCGAACTCGGTCCATTCTTGTGTGACCGCAAATCCATCGCAACATACGTATTTCTGCAACACTCAGTTGTTGAACATGTCTAATCTTTGTAGGTCAACATTCTGCTCCATACAACATAGCCGGTCTAATCGCCGTTTTATAGAACTTGCCTTTTAGCTTTTGTGGTACCCTCTTGTCACAGAGAATGCCAGAAACTTGTTGGCACTTGATCCACCCTGCTTTGATTCTATGGCTAACGTCCGCATCAATATCTTCATCCCTCTGTAGCATCGATCCCAGATACCGAAAGGTATCCTTCTTAGGCACTACTTGACTTTCTAAACTCACATCTCCCTCCTCATGTACAACTCCGCCAAAGTCGCATCTCATGTATTCGGTTTTAGTTCTGCTTAATCTAAAACCTTTAGACTCAAGGGTCTGCCGCCATAACTCTAGTTTCATATTTACTCCCATCTGATTTTTGTCCACTAACACTACATCATCAGCGAACAACATACACCAAGGGATATCCCCTTGTATGTTTCTGGTAACCTCATCCATTGCCAAGGCAAAGAGATATGGGCTTAAGGCTGACCCTTGATGAAGTCTAATTTTAATCGGGAAGTAATATGTGTTACCATCGTTTGTTTGAACACTAGTCACTACATTGTTGTACATGTCCTTGATGAGGGTCACGTACTTTGATGGGACTTTATGTTTGTCCAAAGACCACCACATAATATTTCTTGGTATCTTGTCATAAGGCTTCTCTAAGTCAATGAAAACCAAGTGGAGGTCCTTCTTCTGCTCTCTAAACCGCTCCATAACCTGTCTTATTAAGAAGATTTCTTCTGTTGTTGACCTTCCGGGCATAAAACCAAATTGGTTTGTTGATATCTGCATCGTTCTTCGCATGCACTGCTCGATGACTCTCTCCCATAACTTCATAGCGTGGCTCATCAACTTAACTCCCCGATAATTAGTACAAATTTGGATATCTTCCTTGTTCTTGTAGATTGGTACCAATATGCTTCTTGTCCACTCCTCAGGCATCTTGTTCGATCGAAAGATATTGTTGAACATCTTGGTTAGTCATACTATAGCTATATCCCCGAGACATCTCCACACCTTGATTGGGATACCATCAGGGTCCATCGCTTTGCCCCCTTTCATCCTTCTCAAAGCTTCTCTGACCTCCGATTCTTGAATCCTCCGCACCAAGCGCCTGTTAGTGTCATCAAACGAGTCGTCCAGCTGAACGGTGGTGTTCTCGTTCTCATCATTGAACAATTTATCAAAATACTCTTGCCATCTATGTCTGATCTCATCCTCCTTCACCAAGAGCTGCTCCCTCTCATCCTTTATGCACTTGGCTTGGTTGAAGTCCCTTGTCTTCCTATCGCGAGCCCTAGCCATCCTATAAATGTCCTTTTCTCCTTCATTCGTACTCAAACGTCGGTAAAGGTCCTCATAGGCCCGCCCCTTTGCCTCACTCACCGCTCGTTTTGTAGTCTTCTTTGTTATCTTGTACTTCTCTATGTTGTTTGCACACCTGTCTTGATACAAGCGCTTATAGCACTCCTTTTCCTTAATAGCCTTTTGAACATCTTTATTCCACCACCAGGTGTCTTTCGAGTCGCATCCGCTCCCTTTGGTCACTCCAAGCACCTCTGAAGCAACCTTCTGAACGCATGTTGCCATCTTCTCCCACATGCTGTTTGCATCGCCTTCATCATTCCAAGGGCCCTCTTCAATGACCTTTTCCTTAAAGACCTTTGATACCTCCCCTTCTAATTTTCACCACTTCGTTCTAGCAACCCTAGCTTGTTTGTTCCCACGAGCTTGCACCAGAAAGCCGAAGTCAGCCACCACCAGCTTGTGTTGAGCGACCACATATTCTCTAGGTATCACACAACAGTAGGCGGTGTTGTACGTCATCGGTCAGTCAACGCTGGACCCAACCCAAACCCAAGAGAAGGGGCACCACCAGAAACGCCTCAACAAACGATCTGTGCTAACCATGGCTTCTTCCTTTGGCTGCTGCTGCTGCTGCCAGTCTTGTTCTTGTTCTCCTTTCTTGATGTGCCACTGGCCGCCGCCACCACTGCCACACAACCCCTTCCAATAAACACAACACAAGGAGATATCATGCGGGATATTGCGAGTCTGGTGAACTCTGAATCCGCCAACACCAGGTGGAACACTTATGACCAGAATCCATGCAACTGGGAAGGAATCAGTTGCACAAATTCCAGTTCTTTCTCGGCCATCACTAGCGTCATCTTTTCCAACTATGGCCTATCCAACTCCTCCATCTTTGCCCCCCTTTGCCATCTTGACACTTTGCGGAATCTTGATCTTTCCCGAAATTCATTCACAAATTTGTCCGCCCAGTTCTTCGCCTCTTCTTCTTGCTCCATGAAGGAAGGGTTGCAGTCACTTAATCTAAGCACCAGTCGTTTGGCTAATTCTCTCAGTGATTTATCCGGCTTCCCCTAGCTAGAAGTTCTTGATTTGTCCTTCAATTCCTTTGCCAGTAGAAATCTGAGTGCAGACTTGGGTTCTTTTCACAAATTAAATAGCTTCAACGCTAGTACCAATAACTTGAATGGTGATGTTCCTACCAGTATGGTTGGCTCTTTAGCGGAGTTGGTATTGTCTAGTAATCAACTGAGTGGTTTAATTCCTCCAGGTTTGTTTAAATATGAAAATCTTACTCTGCTAGATCTCAGCCAGAATTATCTAACTGGTGTTGTCCCAGATAAGTTCATGAGTCTCTCCAAGCTGGAGACTTTGCTCCTTTCAGGCAATGAACTGATTGGGGAAATACCAGCAAGTCTGTCGAATGTGACAACGCTGACTAGGTTTGCAGCCAACCAGAGCAGTTTGTCTGGTCCAGTCGCCAGCTGGATTACCAAGCATGTAAGGATGTTGGATCTGAGTTACAACAATCTGAGTGGGACGATCCCCTTTGATTTCCTCTCGCATCAAGGGTTGCAGACTGTTGATCTTACCAGCAACCTGCTTAATGGGGCTATTCCCCGCAATTTATCTCAAAGCCTCTACCGCTTGAGGCTTGGTGGAAACCAGCTTGGTGAGAACATCCCAGAGTCAATTTGTGATACCATGGACATGACTTCTCTTGAGCTGGATGATAATCAGTTGACAGGAAATATACCTTCAGAGCTTGGCAAATGCAAGAGCTTGTCGTTGTTGAATCTGGCATCAAATAGTTTGAATGGTTCAGTGCCTGATTCCATAGGGAATCTTGACAAACTGGTAGTTTTGAAGCTTCAAAAAAACAGCAGTAGGCGGTGTTGTACGTCATCGGTCAGTCAACGCTGGACCCAACCCAAACCCAAGAGAAGGGGCACCACCAGAAACGCCTCAACAAAATCGTGAGCAGACTTGGGGTCTCCCTCTCTGAAGCACAACACTTCTCATTCCCAACAAAACCCATGGAGGAAGCCATGGGCGAGCACACCCAGCACTCAAAATCCTAGAGAGGGGAAAAAAGATCTCGTCTTTTTCTTCCTTCCTTCCCCTGCTATTCGAGCTGGTGGAGGTCAGCTGGGATTGAGGAGGAGGGAAAGAGGCGAGGCGGTTAATCAAGCGGGAGGCCAACAACTGGGGGGATGGCCATGGTGGAGAGGAGGTACGGTCCCTGTGCCAGCGATGGCTTCTTCCTCCTACGGCTGCTGCTGCCGTTCTTGTTCGTCTTCTCCTTTCTTGATGTGCCACCGGCCACCGCCGCCACCAACACCACCACCACGCAATCGCCTCCACTGAACGACACGCAAAAGTCCATCATGAATGATATTGCGAGTCTGGTTAACTCTGAATCTGCCAACACCTGGTGGAACACTGCAGAGAATCCATGCAACTGGAAAGGAATCAGTTGCATACATTCCAGTTCTTCCTCGGTCGTCACTAGCATCGCCTTGACCAACTTTGGCTTATCCGACTCCTCCATCTTTGCCCACCTTTGCCGGCTTGACACCTTGCAGTCCCTTGACCTCTCCCGAAATTCGTTCACAAATTTGTCCGCCCAGTTCTTCGCCAATTCTTCTTGCTCCATGAAAGAAGGGTTGCAGTCACTTAATCTGAGCACCAATCAGTTGGCTAATTCGCTCAGTGATTTATCCCACTTCCCCCAGCTGGAAGTTCTTGACTTGTCCTTCAATTCCTTTGCCAGCAGAAATCTGAGTGCAGACTTGGGTAATTTTCCCAAATTAAGGAGCTTCAACGCTAGTACCAATAACTTGAATGGTGAGGTTCCTACCAGTATGGTCGGCCCTTTGCTGGAGTTGGTATTGTCTGGTAATCAACTGAGTGGTTCAATTCCTCTGCGTTTGTTTAGATATGAAAATCTCACTCTCCTAGATCTCAGCCAGAATGCTCTGACTGGTGTTGTCCCAGATAAGTTCATGAGTCTCCCCAAGCTCGAGACTTTGCTTCTTTCAGGCAATAAACTGATTGGGGAAATACCAGCGAGCCTCTCAAATGTGACAACGCTGGCTAGGTTTGCAGCCAACCAGAATAATTTTACTGGTCCAATCGCCAGCTGGATTACCAAGCATGTAAGGATGTTGGATCTGAGTTACAACAATCTGAATGGCACGATCCCCTTTGATTTCCTCTCGCATCAATGGTTGCAGACTGTTGATCTTACCAACAACATGCTTAATGGGGCTATTCCCCGCAATTTATCGCAAAGCCTCTACCGCTTGAGGCTTGGTGGAAACAAGCTTGATTAGAACATCCCTGAGTCAATTTGTGATACAATGGGCATGACTTATCTTGAGTTGGATGGTAATCAGTTGACAGGAAATATACCTTCAGAGCTTGGCAAATGCAAGAGCTTGTCACTGTTGAATTTAGCATCAAATCGTTTGCAGGGTTCAGTGCCCTCTCCTATCGGTGAACTTGACAAACTGGTAGTTCTGAAGCTTCAAAATAACAGCCTCATCGGACCTATTCCAAGTACATTTTCCGATTTGAAAATCCTGAGCACATTGAATCTTAGTCAGAATTCACTCAGTGGAGGGATACCAAGCGGAATTTTCGAGCTGCCAAAGCTTTCAAACTTGTATTTGCAGGGCAACAATATCAGTGGGCATATTCCGATCTCAATCAGTTCATCGAAGTATCTAATCGAGCTCAATCTGGGTGATAATGCTCTGACTGGTACCATTCCAACCATGCCAACCACTGTGACTACATCTGTTCTTAATCTTAGTCATAACCATCTTAACGGGCCTATTCTTTCAAACATCAACTCTTTAAGTGAATTAGAGATTCTTGATCTTTCACACAACAACCTGTCTGGTGATGTCCCATCTTCACTAGGGACCCTGCAAAGCCTGACACTGCTGGAGCTTTCTTATAATGATCTTTCTGGATCTGTTCCTAAATTCCGCCAAAATCAAAATGTGGACATTGATATTGTCGGGAATCCTGATCTTGTAATTGGTACAGGAAACAATAATGACACTCCTACTACTGGTAAGAAAAAGAGGCACAATTTTGTCATCATCTTCACTATTTGTGGCGCTATTTTTGGATTATGTGCGCCTGCTGCTATTGTTATGATCTTATCAAAGGGAATATATCGTGTTGAAGGCGAAAGGATACCTGCTGGGGAGGGTGTTTCTCAAATCATTAATGGCACCTTCATAACTATGAACAGCACCAACACCGCTACACTTGAGTACATGAAAGAAAAGCGGGATGACTGGCGATTCACTCCTTTCCAAGCTCTGAACTTCGAGGTTGCCGACATACCTCAGGGACTAACAGAGGAGAACCTCGTTGGCAGTGGTGGCTCAGGGCATGTGTACCGCGTCACATACACCAACCGGTACAACAGCAGAACTGGGGTGGTGGCTGTGAAGCAAATACGAAGCTTTGGGTCCCTGGACGAGAAGCTGGAGCGTGAGTTTGAATCCGAGGCTCGCATCCTATGCAACATCCGGCACAACAACATTATCAAGCTGCTGTGCTGCCTCTCTAGCGCAGATTCCAAACTCCTTGTGTATGACTACATGGACAACGGCAGCCTGGACAAATGGCTCCATGGCAACTACGTCCTCCGTGCAGGGAATTCTTTGGCGATGGCATGGCCTGTGCAGCGTGTGCCGTTGGACTGGCCAACAAGGCTCTTAGTGGCTGTTGGGGCTGCGCAGGGCCTGTGCTACATGCACCATGAGTGCTCACCACCCATCGTTCACCGAGACATCAAGACGAGCAATATCCTGCTGGACTCGGAGTTCCGGGCTAAGATCGCAGACTTTGGGGTGTCTAGAATGTTGGTCAGGGCAGGGGAGCCCAATACGATGTCTGCGGTGGCCGGATCATTTGGCTACATGGCTCCTGGTAAGGTTCTGGTTTTTTTGGGTTATTTCGGCAGATTCATTTGGCCAGATCATTTGGCAGGCCTGGTGCAAGCGGTAGAGTCTTACCGCCTGTGACCGGAAGGTCCCGGGTTCGAGTCGCGGTCTCCTCGCATTGCACAAGCGAGGGTAAGGCTTGCCACTGACACCCTTCCCCAGATCCCGCACAGAGCGGGAGCTCTCTGCACTGGGTACGCCCTTTATTTCGGCAGATTACACTCTCATTTTGCCCCTGTCTGAACTGGAGTAATAGGCTTGTAGCTATTGTCTATATAATAAGTTCTAGTATGGCTGGACCTTATGCAATATATATTTTTTTTTCATGTTTGTCTGCAGAGTATGCTTACACTAGGAAGGTGAACGAGAAGGTGGATGTATATAGCTTTGGGGTCGTGCTCTTGGAGCACACAACAAGCAAGAAGGCTAATGATGGTGGTGAGCTTGGTTGTCTTGCAGAATGGGCTCACCACCATTACCAATCAGGGGCGAGCATCCTCAATGTCATAGACAAGAGCATCAGATATGCAGGGTACCCTAACGAGATTGAGACCGCGTTCAGGCTAGGCGTTGAATGCACCGGCATCTTGCCATCGCCGCGGCCGACTATGAAGGACGTGCTGCAGATTCTGCTCAAGTGCAGTGAGCGGACACTCCGGAAAAGCAGAATGGAGTGTAGCATGGAGTTAGAAGCAGCTCCATTCTTGCTCCCATAGCGAGCCCCCTCTTTATATATTTGCATTCACTTTCCTTTCATTTTCGAACCTTTGCATTTAATTTGTTGCCAATTTGCTTTGGAGCAAAATCTCCATAGATTGACCTCCGTTGTACAAGAAGCCCAAGGTTTAATTCCCCAACAATGGAAACAATCATGTGTTTTTGCCCTTTGCTTCCATGAATTGTCTTGAAGAACTGAGATTTTTATTGAGATGGTGGGTGCGAAACAAAAGACCAAACTGAAACATTTGGATTCCTAGGTTCTAGAAACCGGAAGTTTCTTAAACTTAAATACAGTAATATTAAGTAGTACTAAACCAACTAGTTCATTGTCATGTGGCTGACAGTGGACCAGGCGGACTGTGGCTCTGCCTGTCACGATTGGTTTGAGGTGTGTTTGGTTGGAGAGAAAGATAGAATGGAACGTTCACATCCCAAGGTCTAGGAATTGGATGGTTCTGACGTTTAGTTATGTTTAATTTGAAGGATGGAGCGGTTCTATTTTTTCGTGATTATTTCGGTGCATACCGGCTTCATTTATCTCTTGTCGGGCATAAAAATATAGTCGGGCCATACTATATGTTAGCAAGAGACCAGGCTGGCAACTTCCTGGGTGCGTAAGGGGTAGTCATCGATGGGCTCACTGATGCTGAAATAGCCGAGGTGATTGCTTGCAGGGAGGGTTTAACTTTGGCCTTTGATCTTCCGCTGAGGTTCTTTCAGTTGGCTTCCAACAGCGCCAATGTCATAAGAAGTGTTAGAAGAGCATGAATGTGTTCGTATGGCCAAGTTGTAAAAGAGAGAAAGGCTAGGGCACTAGATTTTCTTTTTGTAGATTTTGCTCATGAGAGTAGAAAATCTAATGTTGATGCTCACAACTTAGCCAGAAGTATGTTTTCTTTTGAGACAGACTGTTAGAACTGCCTGTTAGCTTTAACTCATATGATCAACTCCATAGATAAAGAGTGTGGAGTTCTCTCTCAAAGAAAAAAAAAGCTAGCATGTTTATATAGTGAGTGACTATTTTGTACCCGCGTGCAACGAGAACTGTCACTGCTTATATCCCTCTTTTCTCGCCTTCCCACGCATGTCTCTAGTCTCTACACACTTTTTGTTTTGTTTTGTTCTTAATTCTCTAGTCACCCGTGTGCTTTCACCTAAACAAAAACAACTCCTTAATTACACTTCGATTTGTAATGCAATTGCAACTAGCACTTATTTATTAGCTACTTAATTGAATCTCACTCTTCACCAGCCCGATTGACACATCTCTCTAACACCAGTGGCGGAGCTTGAACACCATCCTAAGGGGACCATCAATGAATTAGGGGGCCCACTAATGATGCATGAATCAAATTAACTATGAATTAGTGTATTTTCTGAAGAAAAAATATAAATCTAGGGGTGGTTATGGCCTAAGTTTGCATGCACGGAATTTTTTCCAAGATTTAGATTTTCAGAATACGATAATTGAATTGTAAGATTTGATTTTGCGACCTTGAAGAAAGGGGGAAATGCCTTTCGTGCTTATCCGTTAACTGTAGCTGCAGTGTAGACAGATGATATGTCCTGTACTCCCTGTCCTGTCGATTGCGACACCAAAATGCTGTTATGCGAATGAGTACCTGATCCTGCTCCAAGGAAAAGTGCGCGCGTATTCGCATAGTGGAAGAACAGGGCACGACATTGAGGAGCGTCCTCTGTTGACAGCTAAACAACTGAAGCACAAGGCGTAACAAGTTAAGCTTCTTCAGTTCTGCTCCTAGCTAACAATGAACTCTTAACATAATCTACAGGACCCGCAGCATAATCTTACGGAGTACTAGTAGATAACAACTACTGTACAAACTAAACTAGGGGCCTGTTTGGAACGAGGAAATTTTTCTCGTGTTCTCCGTTTTTCTTGGGAAATTGAATTGATTTATGTGAAAGAAAATTCCTGGGTAATTCATGCGTTCCAACCATGCCCTGGCCATTGCGATCCGCACAGCCATTATTTTTCCCATAGTATATACGCGTCGATCCATCAATCTGTCCACCACCATCTCCAATACACAGCTCGATCAGTTCAGTACCCAGCATGTCCGTGATCGAATCCGAAAACCACGATGTCGTCCAGATCGAACGTGTCATCATCATAACTGAAGCGCGCCATGTCCGCGATGTCACCGCCGTAGAACTGCTGCAGGACAGACGTCACGTCCCCCTGGTCTGGTCCGCCGGGCGTCGTCGCCGCGGCGTTCCGCATGGCCTCCGCGGCCGCGGAGCTCCCCGCCGGGGTAAGGCTGCTCAGCACCTCCTCCTGCTCGCCGCCGGCCTCCAGCTTCAGGGGCCCCGCCAGCATCGCGGCGGCGTCCTTGTGTCCGGTGGTGGTTGTGGTAGTGCTGGTCGTGGCCGCGCTGGCGTTGGCCGCGAAGCTGATGAGGCGGGACCCCGCGTGGTGGAGGTCATCGGCGACGCCGCCGGTCGCGTGCACGACGAGCCTGCGCGATGGCGGTGGCCGGGTCCCGGCAGGTGTGGACGCCGATGTAGGTGACCGTGTAGACGTCCGGGTCGTCGTCGCGGCGCTGCACCTGCCGCTGAGCCACGCACTGCTGGTCGTACTTGTGCGTGCACCGGAAGTAGGCCCTGCACCGAGCATCAAGCCATGGACAGAAATCAGTAATTCGCCCAAGAAAGGATCATATGGTTGGGCCTTTTAGATCACCTCCAAATTCTAAGTTTTTTCACTTTCTCTCCATCACATCAATTTTGGCGTATTTATTTGTGTACTAGCAGCACTAGTTTACGACGACTGAATGTAAACAAGACTGTGTACTAGCAGCACTTTTACTACAACTGAATGACTGATTGAGTAATCAACAATGATTGGTCGATCGAAGGGTAGAAACGTACTTTGGGTACTTGGAGTTTTGTATCTCCTTCTGTCCGTACTTGCGCCATGCGTGTCCATCCTCCAAATCCTTGGCGTTCTTCGTCACAACCGATGATGATTGACGGGCTCTGTAACACACATATATACGCCGCAAAATTCATCAGCATACATCCGGCAGTGGTTTAAATCAACTACTATTTTTAGATCAAGAAGCCCTCGGGCTCACCTCTTCCGACAGGCGGCCCTCCTGTCCGCTCCACCAGCAGCGGCCTTCCGCTTGCCGCCGGCAGTGCCGGCGCAGGTGACGTCGCTCTGCACCTCGGACGCCTCCTCGGCGGCGGCGGCGGCCGTGTCGATGGTGCGGGACATGGCGTGGAGGATCCGGTCCAGGAGGCGGCCGGCCTCGGGCGAGTCCCGGAGCAGCGCCTGCAGCTGCGTGGCGTACTCCCGGCCCTTCACCATGTCCTCCATCACCCGCGCGTACGGCGCCGCCATGGCCAAGCCCCAGCAAGAGGGAAGAAGAAGATCACGGCCACCACAGTCCACAGGGACGGGACACAGCTCACTCAGTGACTCACTCGCGCGCGCACTCCTTCGATCCGGGGGCAGCAAGGGCGGCAGCAACCAGCAAGGAAGCAAGAAAACCCTTCGAGGGTCGAGGCAGGTACCGGCATTTATGGATGCAGAGGGCCGGGAGAGCCGCGCGAGTCCACGGTGGATGGCGTCCACGGAGGAGCGCAAGCCGTGGTTGGTTTTCTACGCGGCGGGCCCGGTGAAATTTAAGCTTTTCTAGCCGGGTGGGCATGTGCCTGCTGGCTCTCGGCGAGGGGGGAAGCATCGTGGAAGGAGAGGGGAGCGAGTGGGGACGGGGACGGGGACATGGACGACGACACGCAGGTGACGTCTCGGACGCGACGTCACCATGGTGATGCGCGACTGCGTGCGGCTAGGATGGAACCAAGTACTAGGCGGCGTACAGTACAGGCTCTCCTAATGGTGTAGGGAAGGGAGGGATGCCAGCGCACTATTCTCTCCCGTTCCCGCGACCGGCGTCCTTCACTCCAGCAGCGCCGATTCCGGCACCACCGTCCTTGGTGGCGGACGTGTCACCCGGCCGCGGGAAAGCTTGTTGATGATGGCGACCGTACCTGTGATCTCTAATCCGACCGCGGGGAACGAAGCTTGCCGAAACCTTCCTTCACCATGGGAAGGCCAAGGTAGGATCTGTACCGCTTATCTCGATTTGGGGGTCTAGTCCAACACGCCCGAGATGCCCAATCGACGGCGCCTCCATTTGTGCAGCTTCAGGAGATTGAGATAGGTAGGCTGGGTCTCAATAATAATTGCATCTTTAGATGTACCACATTGTAGAACCACTTTCATGATGAAACGAT